CAAATTACGAAAATTTCAAAGTTTACACACATAGATGCTGGTCTTACCGTGGGCGAAAGTTTTGTCCATCGAAATAGCCATTTCCATTCTGACAAATAAGTCACACAATGCATTTTAAATTGATAAATCACAAATCTGTATCTTAAAGTAAAATACAAAACTGAAATAAGTAGACAGTCTTCCAGCTTCTATCCAATACATGACATTTGATTTTGGGGACATAAAATATATACTGAACGTTGGTTGCCGAATCGTCATTTTAATTGAATTACATGTATTGTTAAACTAAATATCGGGGAGAAAATATACCTTACTCGCAAGTTGTGCCAATTCGTTTATTTCTACGAGTATCGTTAAATTCTTGTTCATAATTAAAACTGATAATAAATCAGTATATAAAAATGTTGTTGTTAGTTAGTTGTATTTTACGTGACATCCGCTTCCACTGAGGTGATATCGCAGACAAGTATATATATAAAAAAAAAAAAATCTCCAGCATATTTTAAGACATTCACGTGCAAATCGCTACCTTCTAAATATGTTTATTGTCGTCCATTTTCAGACAATGTTATCAGATGTACATTATAAATGAATTCAGCATTACGGACATTTTAGGAAATGAATGCATTTCATTGGTACACTTTAGTTATTTGTCCAAACGCAATTTGAAAAGAGTATTATGAATATATGAATTACCGGTGAACTAAAACGACTAATATACTCATGATATTGTTCCATTAAATATGTGTTTCTTTCTAATAACCTTGTGACAATATGGACTAAATTACTACGACTATTTTGAATCACGGTGGACCATAATCCGCCGCGAATTTTATGTTTCCACCGACTATAATCCTCCGCGAATTTCATATTTTCGCGGACAATAATCCACCGCGAATTTTATATTTTCGCGGACTTTTTTCCTCCCAGAACCTCTCTAATTCTGCGAAGTGTATATGAGAAAAACGTCGCGTTTTATGAGCGGAAAAAAACGCTCACAAGGACTAATTTCATACTTCCGCTCGAAGTGTACTGTAATATTTACTATAAAATTTTACCATTGGTACACGAATTGTGTACCACAATGCGTTTCAGCACCATTTGTAACAAGGGACTCGAAAAATGATGCTAAACATATTCCACAAGTCATGTCCGACAGTGACACCATGTGATTATCTGGAGAGCATGCACAATAAAAAATTATCATTGTAGACTGGAATAACCAGACGCTAGTGATTGCCATTCGATTGAGACTTAAGGTGTTTTTCGCCGAACATAGCTGATTTGAAATTGAGAGTAAAAACGGAAACGATAGAATGTAAATCAGATTATATACATTAATATTTGTCCCCCGCCTTTCGAAGAAAGCAGGGGACTATTAAAATGGGTTCGTCCGTCTGTCTGTCTGTCTGTCTGTCTGTCCGTCTGTCTGTCCTTCTGTCTGTCCGTCTGTCTGTCCGTCACACTTTTTGGGACACAATAACTCTCTTCCTAATTGAGCTAGAATGTTCAAACTTGGTGTATGTGTTTATTAGGTCAATGCCTTGATGGAGTTCGAAGATGAGCATTTTCCGCTTAGGGTAAGCAGAGATAAGCAATTTGATTGGTTGATGCTTTGGGACACGATAACTCTCTTCCTAATTGGGCTAGAATGTTCAAACTTGGTGTATGTGTTGATTAGGTCAATGCCTTGATGGAGTTCGAAGATGAGCATTTTCAGCTTAGGGTAAGCAGAGATAAGCAATTTGATTGGTTGATGCTTTGGGACACGATAACTTTTAATTGAGCTAGAATGTTCAAACTTGGTGTATGTGTTTATTAGGTCAATGCCTTGATGGAGTTCGAAGATGAGCATTTTCCGCTGAGGGTAAGCAGAGATAAGCAATTTGATTGGTTGATACTTTGGGGCACGATAACTCTCTTCCTAATTGAGCTAGAATGTTCAAACTTGGTGTATGTGTTGATTAGGTCAATGCCTTGATGGAGTTCGAAGATGAGCATTTTCAGCTTAGGGTAAGCAGAGATAAGCAATTTGATTGGTTGATGCTTTGGGACACGATAACTTTAGTTCTAATTAAGTGAGATTGATGAAACTTGGTGTATAGTTTCATTACAGTAATACCTTGACTAAGTTTGATAATGAGCATTTTCTGCTCAGGGTAAGCAGAGCGATACGCAATTTGATTGGTCGAGACTTTGGAAAACAATAACTCTCCTACTTTGATTGTCCCCCGCCTTTCGAAGAAAGCAGGGAACTATTAAAATGGGTTCGTCCGTCTGTCTGTTTGTCTGTCTGTCCGTTCCGCTTATGGTAAGCAGAGATAAACAATTTGATTGGTTGATCTTCGAATTGAGTAAATGTTCATGCTTATTGTCCCCCGCCTTTCGAAGAAAGCAGGGAACTATTAAAATGGGTTCGTCCGTCTGTCTGTTTGTCTGTCCGTTCCGCTTAGGGTAAGCAGAGATAAACAATTTGATTGGTTGATGCTTTGGGACACTATAACTTTAGTTCTAATTAAGTGAGAGTGATGAAACTTGGTGTATAGTTTCATTACAGTAATACCTTGACTAAGATCGATAATGAGCATTTTCTGCTCAGATTAAGCAGAGCGATAAGCAATTTGATTTGCTGAGACTTTGGAACACAATAACTCTCTAATTATTTTCCTATTTCGGCGGGGGACATCAGCCTCACTGTTGGCTTGTACATTATTATATGCATTGTAACCCATTTGTGTCAATTTCTTGGTCCCAAATATTATCGATTTAGCTTCTGTAAAGCTAACAAATTGATTATCAGATTTTGAAATTATAGTTTCATTTTGTAAGTTTTTAAACAGTAACTGAGTAACAGTATCTGGATTAAACAGTGCTTGTTAATGTACATTTAGAAGAAGAAATAGAATCTTTAGACATCGTATGATGCTGCATTGTATCTATAATGATTGGAATATGCTGTAAAATTTTATAAAAGAACAGGCAGTGATAAGCCCCCAAGTGAACTACATGGATGTACTGTGTATTGTTAGATGTTGGTTGAATATTGAATTGATCTTGCTGTTTCTATATTCTGCCGTGAGTTTGATGTAGAATGAATTGCTTAGGAATGGAATGAGTCCAGGCAAAATTTTAGTAGGAAGAATATTGATTGTAATTTTGTAAAGAGATTGAAGATATCGTGGTTGTGGGCAGGAATATGGTTGTAAATCCAGTTATAACTGTACAAGCTAAAATGGAGAACTTATTTATTTCTAAACATACCATGTACATGTATTTATTGGTTCCTGCCTTTTAGTGGACTATTAGTATTATGGGTCTGTCCAGTTCATTTTCTGGAACACAATACCTCTGCTTGTACATACAGGACATGTACGTGTTTATTTTTCGATGCTTTGATTATAATTTTCCCCGGTCTTTGAAAGCTTCCAACTATTGAGGTACATGTAGAATGTTCAAAATTGGTGTAGGTGTCTATTATGTGAATGCCTTCACATAGTTCGTTCATGCTCATTTTCCACTAAGGCTAAGCAGAGATGAGCAATTTGATTTGTTCAGACTTTTGTACACGGTAACTTTGGTTCTAATTGGGTGAGAGCAATGAAACTCTTGAGTATAGATTCATTATATCAATATATTGACTAAGTTCGATGATGAGAATTTTGGGAGAATACCAACCCAAACTCTTTTTAAAAGACTGAACTTGGATCCAATTTACCTTTTACCCCCTCTTAAAAGGGTTAGGGTTGATATTCCCCAAAATAATCATGCGGCCATTGTGGACTCAATTTCATTCCAATTTACCATTGGAAATAACCTCCCCAACCAGCCTACAATTAGTATTAACCCAGGTCGCCTAGGAACAGTTAAATAGAGATTTTTCTGATCACGGACCTTCTTGACACATAATGAACACTAGATAGTTGGCATTATTTGTACGTCTGCCTTATCAAAAGTTTGATAACAAAATCAATGATTCCTTTCACAAATCAAAGCAATGGTAATACCGTAATGAAAATACCCATTTACTCATATCAGACCGTAACTTCCTGAATTATGGCCCCTGATTGTACGAAAAATCACGTTTTTAGCTTGTGGACTATATAGAGGTCATAATTTTTATCAGATTTTGTTGAAACTTGAAATGTAAGTTTATAACCCAAAGATCTCGGTTCCTTTCGATATTCGCGCATATCGGACCGTAACTTCCTGAATTATGGCTCCTGATTGTACGAAAAATCACGTTTTTAGCTTGTGGACCCTATAGAGGTCATAATTTTTATCCGATTTAAAAAAACGTATTATTATATCGCCGTTACATCCTAAGGACGGCTGAGTTCGAATTTCGTGAAAATCAGCCCAAAATTGACAGACAAAATGGCCGCCGTTCTCAAATAGTGTAAAAATATGCAAATATGGTATATCAAGGTTGTGGGCGTATCCTGCCTGGCAGCCGCTGGTCAAATATTTCTGATAATTACTGCCAGAATTATTGCCTTTGATTACTTTGAAAGATCTTGTGGACACGATAGCGGCTAAAGTTAATATCCGATTGACTTTATACTAAATGTTAGTATAGAGAAGAACTACATGTATGTAGAAGCCAAATGTGTTGTTACTCGTCAGATTTTAGTGTGTTTGTAAATGTTTTCATTTCTCAAAAAAGAAAAAAAATATGCGAGGCTCTTTGACTTCCCGGACATCTTGGCTCAGATGACTTGGCTGTTGTGGGCATATGTTATGTTGCCTAGCAACCTATCTTTGTCATCTGTTTTTGGCACTTATCTATATTTTAGACAAAGTCTGACCCTTCTTACTCTTTCTTAGTAGAATTTCAAGTTTGCAGGGATTGTTCATTGGGTTTCAATAGAACGAAGAAAGTCACCCCTGTTGAAATTCATGAAATCTTATGAATATGATGCTGAAGTACCATTTAGTGATGATCACTGTGACATTGAACTGTGAATAAACAGCAATATATCTTTTTTTCTCTTTTTTTCCAGTGTGTATTATATTTATGGGCTTTGAAAATACTGTATCCCAACACATTTTTTCTTTTACGAGGAAACCACGAATGTAGACATCTAACAGAATATTTCACATTTAAACAAGAATGTAAGTATATTTTTGGGGGACTGTGCCGGTTTGATAACCTTGCCTTGAGCAAGATATTTTTTTACAAGAGCTTGTTAAGTTAAAATCAGAGCCATTGATTTACTCCCTAGACTAACAATTATCAACATTCATAGCTCCTATTCTGAAGTTTCACCAATGATCAGATGTCATGATTAGGCACAAGCTGACAGCCGTGATTTTGAAGAGGCATTTATTGGATTTCTACAATTCAAAAAATGTACATGTCCTTTTAATATTAACTAATTAATGCAATTATTCTAATAGTGTTATATTCTTGAAAAAATTTAATACCGGTAAATGAAATCAACTTAATCTTAGTTGTTGAATCTTATTACGGTATTTATTTTTATACGTTGAATTTCAGCATTCTACGACATTTGGTTCCCCTGTCATTCCAACAGCAAAATTTCTTGTTATTTCGCTAGAGTTTTGACTGTTTTTTGTACGCCCACATTTTCGTGGGGATGCATTATGCCGTCGCCCCTGTACGATTATTTTTATGGTAGGACCATAAACATCCGTCTGTCCACAATTTGTTTGTGGATACTCTACAGGTCACAATTTTTATCTGATTTTGCCAAAACTTGAAATATAGGTTTATCTCCCAAAGATCTCCATCCTTTTGATATTGGCATGTATCGGACCATAACTTCATGAATTATGCATATTTATGTCCCAAAGATCTTGGTTCCTTTTGCTGTTTGTGCATATCAGACCATGACTTCCTGATCGTATGAAAAATCATGCTTTTTATACGCCCACATGGAAATGTGGTCCTATATTGCCGTCGCCCCTGTCCATTGGTCCGTCCGTCTGTCCATCATCCACAATTTCTTGTGAACACTCTACAGACTACATTTATCATCTGATTGTTTTGAGATTGATATATGTCGTTTGCATTAGTGAGATGAAGCCCATTTAATTTCAAGAACTTGCGTTAATTTCTTCTGGAGTTATGGCCCTTGTTTCACTTTGTTGCACCTTGTGACAAAAGTTATCAACCGATCTGTATGAAATTTATATGCATCATTCAAATTAGTAAAACAAAGAATCCTTTTGAATTTCAGCAATTTCCGTTAATTACATCTAGAGTTATGGTCCTTGTTTCACTTTGTTGCACCTTGTGAATGCTCTAACATCAAAAGTTATCTGCCGATCTGTATGAAATATACATGCGTCATTTAAATTAGTAAAGAGAAGAATCCTATTAAATTTCCGCAATTTCCGTTTATTACTTCTAGAGTTATTCAAATTGCCCTTGTTTAACTTTGTTCAGCCTTGTTAATGCTCGATTGATGAAAGTTATCGTCCGATATGTATGAAATTTATATGCATCATTTAAATTTGTGTAACAAAAAAGCCTGTCAATTTCAACAATTTCTGTAGATTACTTCCAGAGTTGAGACCCTTGTTTCAATTTGTAGAACCCTGTGAACCTTCTAACGGCAAAAATTATAATCTGATCTGTATGGACTGTCTTGTAATGGCCCTCAATTACCTACAAATTAGTACAAAGGAATAAATATGCGACAACCCTTGTCGACCGCTTGGACGATTTAGCCACTGTGGGTGTATGTTTCGTTGCCTGGCAACCTATCTTTTAGTTAAGTGGATCTAAGTAAATCACACCTTGATAGATGTTCTGTAGCTTGGTGTTATAATAACACTAAGTCATAGAACAGTTGCCCACTATTTTATTGATTTTAACTTGACAAAAGCAGAAATATTTTAAAAAGAGTTTAAAAACAAATTGACACAAAATGTTTGTTGGAAATATAACAGTAAAGATCTGTTTGTTCCCAAAGACTGGTGTTGTAGTAATAGCCATTGCAAAATGGAATCAGAGAAGTGTTTCAGTATGTGTGAAATGTTAACTATTGCTGTTATCCAGCCAAATAATAATTATATCAAAACTGTAGAAGTCAAAGCATCAACAATTTTAACTAAAATGGGAGAGAAAGTCTATGTCAATTTCCAAGATCGCTGATTAGGATGCCTAGTTGCACGAGCGGGTGGGCTACTGTATGATACAGGCATAGAGAACATCAACCCTATAAAATATCAGAATGAAGCCTAGTTATTACTAATATAAGTTTTGATATGATCCTGTGAGTGTTCAACACTATCTAGACCGGTCTTCTACATATGTGTGTGTGTGTTGTTTTTATTTAAAGATCGTGACAAATTGGCATTTTCTCAGAACACATATTTTGCACCTTACGAAACCAATAAAATAAAAACTATTATACCTAGAACAATGAAATATGGCATGTTTTTAGCCATATTCTCACTAGATAAGAGAACATGAAAGAAAAACAGAAAAAGTCCATGCATTACCATGATTTTATTAAGTATAGAACGAATAAAAACAAGTACATGTATGGACTATTTCTGTTGTTCTTGTGTTCTCTTATCTAATGACATTCAATTACTTTTTTGAATTGTCAGATATTCTCTTACAATCTTCCAACAATTATTAGTGAGCAGAAATTAGCCTGTTTAGGCCTATCTGTTATCACTCGTCACTTCTGTCAGTTATATAGAGGGATAACTCATGTTTTTCTTTTGCGTTCGTCACTTCCGATTGTTAAAACCTTCATTACGCACCTATCGTAGCAATGATCTCAGTGTTACAATTATATTTGGAACGTGTTTAACCAGTTCTATCACATGTGATAATGACTGACACCAATATTGTCCTTTAAGGTCATGAGAAGAAGCCTATCAATTTTCAATGATTATGGCAATTGATATTAAATGTTTTGTATGCTAAATGTTGGAATAGGGTAGAACTAGAAGCCAAATGGGTTGTTACTCGTAATCAGATTTTAGTGTGTTGTAAAAGTTCTAACAAAAGAAAACAAAATAATCAACAACCCTTGTTGACTCCCTGGATGATTTTTCTTTGATTCTTATCTCCCCAATTTGGGGGTTGTATAAAAAGTACCAAGTTAAAAGACAAAGGCTTTCGAAAGCACTAGACTATTAAAATGAATGCGTCTGTCTGTTCGTCCAACTGTCACACTTTTTGGGACACAATAACTCTTTCCAATTGAGCTAGAATGTTCAAACTTGGTGTAGGTGTTTATTAGGTCAATGCCTTGATGGAGTTCGAAGATGAGCATTTTCTGCTTAGGGTAAGCAGAGATAAGCAATTTGATTGGTTGATGCTTTGGGACACGATAACTTTAGTTCTAATTGAGTGATGAAATTTGATATATAGTTTTATTACAACAATACTTTGACTAAGTTCGGTAATGAACATTTTCTGCTCAGGGTAAGCAGAGTTATAAGCAATTTGATTGGTCGAGACTTTGGAACACAATAACTCTCATTCTATTTGAGCTAGAATGTTCACACTTGAAGTAGGTGTTTATTAGGTGAATGCCTTGATGGAGTTCAGAGTTAGAAGATGAGATTTTTCTGCTTAGGGTAAGCAGATATAAGCAATTTGATTGGTTGATGCTTTGGGACATGATAACTTTAGTTCTAATTGAGTGATGAAATTTGATATATAGTTTTATTACAACAAAACCTTGACTAAGTTTGATAATGAGCATTTCCTGCTCAGGGTAAGCAGAGCTATAAGCAATTCGATTGGTCGAGACTTCGGAACACAATAACTCTCATTCTAATTGAGCTAGAATGTTCACACGTGACGTAGGTGTTTATTAGCTGAATGCCTTGATGGAGTTCATAGTTAGAAGATAAGAATTTTCTGCTTAGGGTAAGCAGATATAAGCAATTTGATTGGTTGATGCTTTGGGACACAATAACTTTAGTTCTAATTAAGTGAGAGTGAGGACACTTGATGTATAGTTTTATCACATCAATCACATCAATACCTTGACTAAGTTCGATAATAAGCATTTTCTGCTTAGGGTAAGCAGAGCCAAAAGCAATTTGATTGGTCAAGACTTGGGAACACAATAACTCTGCTTCTAGTTGAGGTTGAATGTTCAAACTTGGTGTAGGCTTTCATTAGGTGAATGCCTTGATGGAGTTCGATGATAAACATTTTCTGCTTACGGTAAGCAGAGATAAGCTATCTGATTGGTTGATGCTTTAGGGCCAATGACTTTGGTTTTAATTAAGTGAGACTCTGAATATTGATTCATTATATCATTACCTTGACTAAGTTTGATGATGAGAATTCTCTGCTTCGGCTAAGGATCGATAAGCAGTTTGATTGGTCAAGACTTTGGATGATAACTCTGCTTTTAATTTAGGTAGAATGTATAAAGTTGATGTTGATGTTCATTAGGTGAATGTCTTGACCGAGTTCAATGATTAACATTTCGAGCTAAAGCTAAACAGAGCTAAGCAATTTTATTGTTTGATGCTTTGGGACCAGATAACTTTGATTCTATCTGATAGAGAGTGATGAAACTTGGTGTATAGTTGATAATCGGTGCGATTAAACATACATTATGCAAGAGCTAAATCTGCCTATTTCAGGTCTTTCTTTTTAGCCCTGAAATGTTATCTAAATTATTAATTAGACATTAATTAACCTATCCAGGTCATAATCAACTCTAGATGGCAGCGCTAGCCTGCGATCTTTAGTGGATTGTAAGCCGATTTACTGCATAACTTTCCTTCTCGATTAGACGATTAAATGGATAATCGAGACTATGCTGTTTATCGTACTGACTTTAGTAATGATGACCGAGGCTTACTGGAATTTCAGTCGCCCAGTTCTCGGGTTCATAGTGGATCAATTTGAATGAAATTTTCACCAAATTGCCTTTACATTATCTAGTTTTTTATACGCCCACATTGAAATGTGGTCGTATATTGTCGTCGCCCCCGTCCGGCGTCCACAATTGCTTGTGGACACTCTAGAGGCTAAAGTTAATATCCGATTGACTTTAAATTTATATACAGTGTTTAAGTCCATGAGACGAAGAAGCCTATTGATTTTCAGCGATTTCCGATAATTACTGCCAGAGTTATGGCCCTTGATCACTTCAAAAAATCTTGTGGACGCTCTAGAGGCCAAAGTTAATATCCGATTGACTTTAAATTTATGCACAGTGTTTAAGGTCATGAGACGAAGAAGCCTATTGATTTTCGGCGATTTCCGATAATTACAGCCAGAGTTATGGCCCTTGATCACTTCAAAAAATCTTGTGGACGCTCTAGAGGCCAAAGTTAATATCCGATTGACTTCAGATTGATACACAGAGTTTAAGATCTTGAGACGAACAAGTATATTGATTTTCAATGAATTTTTATGACTTGGAACAGCTAAATCCATGATACAGTATTAAAAGTTTTGTATACAAAACATTAGCATTGGGCAGAACTTTATAAACACCAAAGAAATTCTAATGGTTTTCTGAGTTGTTGCTCTTAATCAGATTTTAGTGTATTATAAATGTTTCATTGCCGAAAAAAGTAAAAATATGCGACATCTCTTGTTGACTGCTCGGACGATTTAGCTGCTGTGGGCGTATGTTTCGTTGCCTGGCAACCTATCTTAACTGTTATAGTGAGAACTGCCAACTCGTTACCGAATCTCCCATAATGTATCTTTAATTAATATGTGTCATCTATTTATTTTGGGATTTTGGCGGGGGACATCAGCCTCACTGTTGGCTCGTTATCTTGTGTTATAAGCTCAGGTATATAAGTTTATTTTGCTGATATACAATTTGAATTGACTTCATTGTGTTATTCATATCATTAGAAATATGATTTATTATTTATAGGTAAAATAAAATACACAGAAAGAGTATATGATGCGTGTATGGAAGCCTTCGATTGTCTGCCATTAGCAGCTTTAATGAATCAACAGTTTATCTGTGTTCATGGTGGATTATCACCAGAAATACACACATTAGAAGATATTAGAAAGGTAAACTTTTAGAAATGAAATGTTCACAATTGTTTTAACTTTTTGATCTTGGTGATGCATTTTAAATTGTCATTCACATAATATGTGGAGATACTTGATTAACTATAGTATTATTGTCACCCGTCTTTCGAACAAAGCAGGGGACTATTAAAATGGATTCGTCTGTCTATCCGACCCTCACACTTTTTAGGACACAATAACTCTTCTAATTCTTCTTATTGAACTAGAATGATCAAACTTGGTGTAGGTGTTTATTAGGTCGATGCCTTGATGGAGTACGAAGATGGGAATTTTCTGCTAAGCAGAGATAAGCAATTTGATTGGTTGATGCTTTGAGACACAATAACTTTAGTTCTAACTAATAGTATTGAAACTACTATTCGGATATCCTTTAACGGATACAAAATGACGATTACCGAATCATTTTACTATCCGTTACAATTTTCTGAAATTCTGTTATGTTCTATATATAGTCATTTTTACATATGATCACGTAGCCGTAGGCAGCTCTGTGTACTTTTTAAACATATCAACATTGTGTCATTTTATTAAGCAATACTAACTAATAAAGAATGTATTTTAAACTATTTACATTTTTGTATTTTCCATTAAATCCACTTGACACCAATTTTGTCTTGTGCGGTTGGTTCATCCACATGCAGTCAAATCTCGATCCCGACACAGCGAACAAACTTATTTTTCTTTGACAAGCGTTAAATAATAAAAAAAAAATAAAGTAGGCTAACTATTGTGATCACGTATATCAAAAGTGGTGAATATTAGAAAAGTATTTTATTATTTTTTTATCTTTTCTCGTTACCTCTTGCTGACTGTTGAATTTAATATTTGTTTATACATGTATTGGAACGAACCCTTGACATGAGTGACGTGTAATAACAAAATTGGGTAAAAATTATACTATCCATGGGTAGATCCTGGACATTAAAATGGGTTCATCCGCCTGTCCATCCGTCTGTCTGTCTGTCCGTCACACTTTTTGGGACACAATAATTTCTTTCTAATTGAGCTAGAATGTTCAAACTTGGTGCAAGTGTGTATTAGGTCAATATGTCTGTCTGTTCGTCCAACCGTCACACTTTTTGGGACACAATAACTCTTTCCAATTGAGCTAGAATGTTCAAACTTGGTGTAGGTGTTTATTAGGTTAATGCCTTGATGGAGTTCGAAGATGAGCATTTTCTGCTTAGGGTAAGCAGAGATAAGCAATTTGATTGGTTGATGTTTGGGACACAATAACTTTAGTTCTAATTAAGTGAGAGTGATGAAACCTTGACTAAGTTCGATAATGAGCATTTTCTGCTCAGGGTAAGCAAAGCGATAAACAATTTGATTGGCCGAGACTTTGCAACACAATAACTCTCCTTCTAATTAAGCTAGAATGTTCAAACTTGGTGTAGGTGTTTATTAGGTGAATGCCTTGATGGAGTTCGAAGATGAGTATTTTCTGCTTAGGGTAAGCAGAGATAAGCAATTTGATTGGTTGATGCTTTGGGACATAACTTAAGTTCTGACTAGAACTGCGAAGCAGTAATGAAGGGTTTCACTGGTGCCACGTTACCACAACTTATGTCACTTTCGGTGCCACGTTACCCTTAAACTCATATCACTTCCAGTACCATGGAACCGCTAAACAGATTTCCACATAAACATTGCAGACATGTTATAAAATGGACGCAGAATCAATCAAACCCAGCAATATCAATTCCATTCATACATTTGTTACCATGTGTAACTGCTTTTTTAATCAAATGATGTCACTTTTGTGAAAGTCCATTAATAATTGACTATTTTACAGGCAAAACAACAAAAACAGTGACTTATGCAAAATTGCCCATTTCTAGTTAACGCCGTATATTACAAACTAATTTTAACATACATTTTCTTCGTATGGATTATAGCTAAAAGTTAATAAAAGTTATGTAGAAATATTCTTAAAATCGAATTCGCTCGAAAATGAAATCGAAATTAAAAAAACTGAGCTCACAATTTTTTGCGCTTTTAAAGATCACACTCTTTTAGTTACATGTACATCAGTTTTAAAAAAAAAATTTCTTTCAAAAAGTGGAACCAAACTGTCAAAATTGTAGTTTTTGGTAAAATTATGCCACTTCCTGGGCCGACAGATAACACTATCGGTAACAAAAAAAATGACAATTGAGACAACGGAGCATATGAACTTTGTTTTATACAAATCGAACAATAAATAATTAATCTAAGACTGAAAAACTGAATTAGCCAACGGTGACCAAGGAAAATTACTGAGAAAAAAATTTCACATTTTCGCTCAAGTCAGATGACTCTTTAATTTTGTCTAAAACACATCTAAAAAATATTCATAAATAAAAAAGTTTTTTGTAAAAAATTTAATTTTTTAAATTTGGCGCCTAATATCTGCGAAGATTTGCAGAAAATCAAAAGTAGCGTAGCTATGTAGCTATGTGCCCTGTCTCCGGCTATGCCAAAATGTATCAAAAGTAAAAATCCAACGATTATTGTTAAAATTACTGCAATATTTTTAAAAATGATAACTTCAGTGATTTCGGACATTTCACATTGTTGCAGAAAGATCAAAATAGCTTTATCCTGTAAGTCACACCCACTTTCCCAGTAAATCCGAAGAAATCGAAACGATGCGACAAGCAGTTGCTGAGATTAAATCAAAATGGAATTTGAATAATAATAAGAATAACTAGGTCTGCTAAGCAGATATTAAAGCTTTCATATTCACAATCACTTCCTGTCACATGTCATATGGGTCATATAAAGAATCTGAACAAGATAAAGAAAAACCCATTAAAATCGGTGAAAAACCTGCGAAGTTAATGCAATTTTTCACTTGTAAACAACTTTATCGGCACGAAAAACGTCAAAGGCAAAATTCGAAATTGTGACATTTTCAAATACCATAAATTCAACCCTGATCCCGGCTATCCAGAAATGTGTTCATTTTGGAAATAGGAGGCATATTCTCCAAACTACGGCCTATTGTTTTCATCTTCATGTCCGTTATCGTCAATTTTCACTTTTTCTAATATTCACTTCCAAATGGTGACCATCTGTTGACAGATATCAAAATTCTGATCCAATAGATTTTTAGGCATTCCTTCAAGGATTCAGAAAATGTAACTCTCATATTTGTAAGTAAAATACTGCAAAAGCCTTATGGATTTTTCACGTTTCAAGATGGTTGCACTTCCGATTCAATTGTGTACACATTAGTCCTTTCTTAGCTAGTAGTACAGAAAAAAAATTTCAAGGCACTCTGACCTATATTTCGTCGATTTTTTTTAAAACTTTGATCTTTAATTTCATCAAGGGGAGATAATTTAGAAAAATTCTAATGACATCTTTTAAGTCGCGTCTGTAAGATCTACTTACATACTAAATTTCATGAAAATTGGGCAACTATTAAAGAAGTTGTCAAATTGGTCTCAACTTCCGGTTCGAAATCACAGCGGCGAAATTGCAGATATGAAGTAAATGTTTCAAGGTACACTGCGGCGCCTCCAGCATTCACGGTGCTTCGCAGTGTGAAACCCTAATTGAGAGTGGGGACACTTGGTGTATAGTTTTATCACATCAATACCTTGACTAAGTTCGATAATAAGCATTTTCTGCTTATGGTAAACAGAGCGATAAACAGTTTGATTGGTCGAGACTTTGGAACACAATAACTCTACTTCTAGTTGAGGTAGAATGTTTAAACTTGGTGTAGGCGTTCATTCGGTGAATGCCTTGATGGAGTTCGATGATAAACTTTGTCTGTTTATGGTCAGCAGAGATAAGCAAACTGATTGGTTGATGCTTTAGGGCCAATAACTTTGGTTTATATAAAATGAGAGTGATGAAACTCTGAGTATAGATTGATTAAATTTGAGAATTTTCTGCTTAGGCTAAGGATCGATAAGCAATTTGATTGGTCAAGACTTTGGAACATAACAACTCTGCTTTTAATTGAGGTAGAATGTTTAAACTTGATGTAGATGTTCATTAGGTGAATGTCTTGACCGAGTTCGATGATAACATTTCGAGCTAACGCTAAACAGCTAACCAATTTTATTGGTCATTGCCTTTGGTAAGGGTGTGACGACTAAGCAAAACTTGAACCGGTTAGTTGGCGGCTAAAAAAACGAACCAATTCGGTTTAGTTGGTAATGAAAACTAACTGAAAAATATTAGTCTTCCATAGTCTACAATACACGCTAATATACTGGCCTTTATATACGGAGCTTAAAACTGTAATGGCGACATCAGATACAGTTTTATGTGTGCAGTACATTAAAAAATTTGGTTTTGTTTGTACTATGTAGTTTGTTCAAATCTCCTGTTGAACCTTTTTAATAAAAGTAATAAATACAACATATAAAAAACTTCAAACAATGGCGTATTGATCAATAATATTAGTGATAAACCGACGAGAAAGCGTATCTGGGCATCAGCTCAGTGCGCATGCCTATTGACCTAACCTGGAGGATTGCTTGTTTCTGATTGGGCACTTCAACCATTGACCTTAGCGACCGACCAATCAAATAACGTATTCTTAAAATAACTTCATTAGGTAATCAAAAACACACTCGCTTGTAATCGCGAGAATATCCACAACCGATTACGGAATATAGTATATACTGTCTCGTTATTATTATTGTCGACCATTTATCAATGATGTAGCTTATTGCTTATTCGCCCCCATAATTATCGATCGTTAATACATGTACCTTTATAAAAAAAAAACATGTTATAATATTCGGGCGGCTGGTTTATATCTTGCTGTATTTTTTAGACGACTATCGATTTCCCGAAAGTTGAACCGGTTTGTAGGTAAAACCGAACCGACTCTGACTAAACCGACTAATCGTCACACCCTTAGCCTTGGGATCAGATAACTTTGATTCTATCTGATAGAGAGTGGTGAAACTTGGTGTATAGTTGATAATCAGTTTGATTGCTTGATACTTTTGAAAAATAAATGTGTGATTACTTAATAATAATATGCATCATCTATTTATTTTGGGATTTCGGCGGGGGACATCAGCCTCACTGTTGGCTTGTTTTCATTGCAGTTGGATAGATTTAAAGAACCACCTGCGTTTGGTCCCATGTGTGATTTGCTGTGGTCTGATCCTTTAGAGGATTTTGGAAATGAAAAAACATCTGAACACTTTACACACAATACTGTTAGGGGTTGCTCATATTTCTACAGGTAAGGTTAACTACAGTAAATTACATAGTTTTGAACAATTTGAATGATTCTGTAAGTTTAAAACAAAGATAAATGGTCTGGTTATGTTTATCTCAATTTTATCCGAAAAACCATTCAAAAGTCCGAACATTAGATTATAAGGTACAGTTGTGTATATGTCCTCTATTTAGTCAAAAGAAACCTTTTTATTTCTACACCAATTAGACCAAAAGGTGTTTGTGTGGTTAGCTGATTTAGAATGATGACTTAATTTAAAAACGAATTTGTGTATAAATAATAGTACAGATTGAAACCAGCCTGGCTAGTTAATAGCCTATTTAACATCATTACTGAAACTACAAATCAATCTATCAGCCATGCTTACTATTTTATTCTTAACAAGAGAGAAATCATTCAAACTCTTCGATGAAATTAAGTTCTTGTGCATACTTTGAACTGGGCTTTTAGGATGTATATAACATTGTGACTATTGATTTTCTTAACAGTATCTCTAGTGTTATGTGTGAGATCGTGTTGTAATAGTTTTATCACAAAGGAAATATAGGATTACCAGAACCTGTTATGTATCGTAATTTACATGTACATGCATCATATTCTTGAAGTTTTATTATTCTCAAACTAGGGAAGAGCAGTTGCTCACTGAAATTCTACTTGAAATGGAATTAATAAACCTACGTTGCCAGAAGTATCTAATCATAAAATTGGAAGGTTTGTCCCAACATATTTTCTGGATGAATACCTGGTACAGGTTTTTTTTTGTTTTTTTTTTGTCATTTCATATTTCAGCTATGCAGCATGTTGTGATTTCTTACAACAGAACAACTTGTTGTCTATTATAAGAGCACATGAAGCCCAAGATGCTGGGTAAGTGAGTATTATTGTTCAAGAAAATAAGATTTTGTAAAATCTTTGTAAGCAGTGTATGAGGGGAATCAAATATATTTTAATGCATTAAACTGTGTACGGTAGTTAAAGATTAATTATGAAAGATTTATGTAAAGAGCTTTCAGTTCTCAATATAAGACTTCAAATATAGGAAATTCAAAATTAATAAATTGAAAATTTCATTCAAATTACTTTATTCAGGGCGATGTTATCGCTGTTTGAAGTTTGGCATAGATTGTTTATTATCGTAGCAACGTTACTTGTTAATTGAGACTCGGTCTCACTACTCCAATTTTAGACACACACATTGAAATGTGGTTGTATATTGCCTTCATCAGTCCAGCGTCCACAGTTGCTTCTGGACGCTCAAAGGCTAAAATTAATATCCAAATGTCTTGAAATTTAGCCACAGTGTTTTAGGTCATGAGACAAGGAAGCCCATTGATTTTCAAAGATTTCTGATAATTTTTGCCAGAGGTCGCAGTGGATCAATTTCGAGTTGCGTAAAGATATGCAGACATTCCAAAATTTTGAGTTTTTGCCGTCTACATCTGTGTGACTTAGAGCCTCTCAAAATACTCAATAAATTAGAAGCAAGTAAAATCGATTTAAACAACTCTATTTTAAGCATCCTTATTTTATAGATACTGTATTTAGTCTTATGAAGACTGGAGGTTGACAGCATATCTATATGGTTGACGGCAGTCATTTCAATCTTTCACTTCGACAGGAAGTAAAGAGCAAACTATGTGCTTTATTGCTTCCAGTACGGCAAAATAGGGGTGTCTCAGAATAGCTGTGTATAGAAGGCTTACTGAATGAAATAAAAGGAAATGTAAAAACCTACAGTAGCAGTCTGTAAATGCCATGTGAAGCATATAAATTGATGACGTATTGTACCAACTCCTACATAAAATAATCTAATTATTCTTACATCGGGAGACTTTCTGCGTGTAAATTATGCAGCGTCCGTCAATATTTGCATTTATTTTGAAAAAATTGTGTAAAAAACGCTGATTTTTGTGTGACTGCAACCTCTGGTTATGGCCCTTGATCACTTTGAAAAATCTTATTGACACCCTTAGAGTAGTTAGAGGCTAAAGTTAATATCCCATTGACTATAATTTTAACTTGCAATGAAGAATCCTATTGATTTTTTGATAATTACTGCTAGAGTTATGGCCCTTGATTACTTTGAAAAATCTTGTGGACACTCTAGAGGTTAAAGGGCCAATCCCGATAATATTTTGGAGAATAAAACTGCTTAATTTTGTGTTAAAACTCCTTAATATCCCGTACGTAAGGGCCGATCAACTAATTCAATATTTGTGATATGTTTTCAAACAACTTACACCCGTCAGTCTTCATCTGGAAATGGAGACCGGTGTCCCAAGCTGTATTATGCGTTGTCTGGATAAAACAGACTTTTATTTTATAAAAACAATGTGTAGGTGAAATTTACGTTTCATTATCCAGTACGGCACATGGGTCATTCACTGTATAGACCTCTAAAGGAACGGCGATAGATTATCAGGTCACCCAACGAAAAAAATGACCAGAAATCATAAAAGGGTTACGTGTCCGGATAAGCATTTTTGACGTTCACGTCCAAACAACTCAATATTTTGAGCTGAAATTTTGAGGCAGGGTAAATACACCATTCCTCTATATTTTGGCGCTTAAATTTCATACAAACTCGGACTTTTATTTTTGAGACTCTGTTCAAATCGGGATAGTCCCTTTAAGGTTATTACCCGATTGACTATAAATTTATACATAATTTGATATGAAGAAGTCTATTGCTTTTCAATGATTTCCGATAATTACTGACCGGGCTATGGCCCTTGAACACTCGAGAAATCTTGTGGATGCTAAAGGCTAGGTTAATATAAAATATAAATTTATACGGTACAGTGTTTATGCTTATGAGACAAACTATGGAAATATTTTTTTATGATTTCTGATAATTACTTAAATGGGCATATGGGAGATTAGATAAATAGCTGGCAGTTCTCGCTATAACAGTTAAAGAATAAATAAAGTAAAGAGAATATGCTGAAAATTTCTGTCAAATAGCTCTATTCTGAACCGAGATATTAGAGATCGAATTTTAGGCCTAGACTCGATCAGCATTACTGAAGTCGGTACGATAAAAAACAAAGTCTTAATTATCAATTTTGACTTTAAATCATTCATCACAAAATGTATTCAAATCCAGTAAATATCGCAGGCTAGCGATGGCATTGAGAGTGAAGTAATGTCTAATTGATAATTTAGGTAAAATTTCAGGCCTAAAGAAAGACCTGCAATTAGGCAGATTTATCTCTTGCATAGTGTATGTTTAATGGGTTGTTACTCGTAATCAGATTTTAGTGTGTTGTAAATGTTGTCATTACTGACAAAAGAAAAGATGTGTGACAACCCCTGTCGATTGCCCGGACGCCTTAGCTGCTGGGGTGGCATATGTTTTGTTGCCTGGCAACCAATCTTTGAATTAAATCATTAAATGGTAATCTTATTCAATTCGTTTACATCTGCGCCATTTGATGTTCTAGTGAGTTATTGTAGGCTTGTCATGTGGATAAATGTCAAAATAATTTGTGTAAGAACATATGAAGCCAAAATAGAAACCTGCAATAGGCAGTTTTGGCTCTTACATAATGTATCTTTAATATAGTTACTTCTCGGTTGCTAGTGTGTAAGCAACACTGGACTGGTTAAATCTCTGGATTTGAAGAAAATAAATGAATGGTAGCTATTGGAAGTCGTTGACTATAGCATGAAGGAGATTGCATGTGGTAATGTTCAGGGCCTTATAAGTTGGCTTAAAGTGCACATAAGATGGCCTTGGGAACTTTTCGAAACGTGTAGCCAATGGTTACTATATCAACTTTACGGCAAGTTCCCACCAATCTGATTGAAATTTATTCAGTTATCTTCACTCAAAGTCGTAAAAATAGACCTCCTGTAAAAACGACTTTGCCAATTAGCGAAAACACTCTTAATCCCCTCAGACGCCAGTGACATCACAGTGACCGAATGCTTATTCGGAATGTTTATTCATTAATTACCTATATACAGCCGGCGTGTGTATTCATTAACGCCTGACTGATTCCTTAATCCCCCTAATTAAATAAAACAATTGACTACGGAATAATTTGTTTTGTAATTCATTTTAATTTAAGATCCAATTTAGAATTTGTTTCATAATGTACGGTCGCTCTCGTTTCTCACGACAGCAATTTTAATACCCTGTAACATCGTGTGCAGTCCAATCGATTTGAGATACATTTTCGTCAAAAGAGTATTGTTCTAATTTCCCCCGAATAAAAGAGTACAGGAGTAAAAAGATGTGGTCATGCAAAATGTATCATAAAAGTCAAACATGATTGAAAAGCGATTTGTAAATGACGATCCGTTATCATCGTACGGCGGATATGACTTCATTACTCTGAAATAGACCGTAAAATTGAAATACGAAAAAATATCTCAATATTTTAGAATTAACAGTACAAATAAATTTTGTTGGTAACCATCTAAATGGAATAACAGACAGATTGAGAAGGGTCATCTCAATATTTTAGAATTAACAGTACAAATAAATTTTGTTGGTAACCATCTAAATGGAATAACAGACAGATTGAGAAGGGTCATCTAACTATCTTTGTTTATTGATAATAAGGCAACACAAATAAAATAACTTGTTTCTCGGGCACCGCCCGCACGCAAAATTGGTTGCGCGTGCAGTCTATTTATTAGTCTTGATGAAAAAAAATAAATATGTAACGCCCGCCCGCACATCGACAAGCAAGTCGTAAAAAAAATATCCCGCATGTACCTACATCCGCCATACATGTATATCTATTCAAATGTATTAAAACTGATTCAGATGAACATGCTGTCTTTTTTATCCGAACAATGGCGAAGTTTGGCAGATTTGCCTTTTTTATTGATATCGAAAGAACCTCCATTTTGTATCACGTGGTATTAATTACCTCCCCTGATAAACTAGAATTTGATTCGTGTTAAAAGTCATTGGCGACAATATTTCAATCATTCGATCGTAATCGGCTCATTATTGCCGGCTTCAGTCGGTCCTTGTTTGGAAAATCCTATTGATAAAATAATGAACCGTAGAACAGGTTAATTAATTATAGCTAAGAATACGATACGATGACGATAGTCGTCATAATGTATACCTTAGAATCTGGGTCATTATTAGCACATTTACGGTAGTTTCGATAATCCGGAAAATAATAATTGGATTACCGATTTGATGGTTTTACTGACCAGTTGTTAGTTAGATTTAAATAGTCATTCAATATAAACACCGGATAGAACACCGAATATCCTGAGAAACACACCGAATATCCCAAGAAACAGTATTTCCGGCAATCTCCAATACCGATGACACGGTGTGACATCCATTGGTTGGAATTCGGTAAATAATTATAAATAAACCGGCGATACTAGATTTTGTTTTAAATACTGTTTACCATGATTATTATTTTTGATACACTTGGTGAAAGAGGCTTAGTTTTTAAAAATATTGTTGTCTTTATTGAGGGCTATTATACATAGTCGTATGGAATTTTATTTTAAACCAATTTCAATTATGTGAATTAAATATGGAAAATTATTTTCCTTTCAGTCAGTGTTCAGTCTCAGTGTTTTAGTAGACTTGATTTTGGGTTTATGTTTTAAGTATGTACAATAAAGTTGAATATAACGGAAAGCAAAAACGTAAACAAGTAATGACTTTCTCATTTAAAAAAAAAAAAAAAGAAAGACCGCCCTCCCGCCCCAACAATTTTCAGCAATAGCCAAATTTTATTTTGCACCATCAATGAGTAAAAAAAAAAAAGAAACCGCCCTCCCTCCCTACAGTTTCAGCTGTCAGTTGCCCGAGAAACAAGACATTTATTTTGTGTGGCCTAATATGGCAAGTAGCGTCGTTAATATCTGTCATTAATTAATCA